GTGTGTGTGTGTGAGTATCTATATCTACATCTATATCTATGTCTCGGTCGTGTATGAATATATATATATATATATATATATATGTAATTGAGCAAGTTCGCTATCGGTTGGATTTATTTCACTTCCAATATGTAGGCACTGTTTTAATTGAAAGAACAGTTAACTGATCCTTATCCAGTGGACGCTTACCTTAATCATATTTTCCCTTGTTGGTTGACTACAAATAAGTCCTTCTACCCCCAAGGTGTTTGGCTTCTCACTATTTTCCCGCAATATGGTATGCACTGCAGGTGGTATCCCCCGATGTCGAAGTGAAGAAGTTGGCGTACATGTACCTGGTGAGATATGCCGAAGAAGAGCCCGACATCGCCCTGCTCTCCATCAACTCGTTCCAGAAAGACCTCAAAGGCCCCAACCAGTTTATCAGGTACGCTGCTATTGTGCTATGGTCTCATTTCTGGGTACATAATACATAATATCTGCATGCTAAGTGTCGCATGGCTCAGTGTGTCGTCGGTGGCCATGTTGTGTCCTGTTGTCTCTTACAAAATCTGTATGACATCACTGTGTCGACCTTTCAGCGTGTTCGCAGGTGCATCCCACCTATACATCTGATGGCTGCAATGCCGGGCGTATTCCAATATATGCCCGTTGTCGAACGAAAAGGCTTCTATCGATCGTTCCATGAGCTTTGATGAATGAAAGCGTGGCGACAGCTATTAGATGCGTGTGTGTAGTGCGTGATCAGCGGTCACGCCTTGTGGTCTACGTTGTGTGTGACGTTATATGACATGGTCATGTTCATGCCATAAAACTCGTCAGAATTGTGGGTTGTTGCCCCACTTTCAGTGATCATAATCACGCGCGTGACATCAGCTGGGAGTGGTTTTAAAATCACAATTGTGGTTTAAAATAACATTAGCTGTGAGTGGTTTTAATATGACATCAGCTGTGGGTATCATTTTAAACCAAATTTGAATGTCACTAAAGTTGGACGATAATCGTACGCGTACCATATGTATGTACTTTTAGCATATACGTTTCATTGCTAGCAGTGTGTTTAAGCTCGATTTCAGGTGTCAACGGAAGGCATAGGGTGAGTTGTTAAATAGAGAAAGCCCAGCACTGCCTTCGTGCACGTCTCTGGTGGAATGTACGCACATATAAAAAGAACGACGTATACTTCACCTACGTACCTCTCAATTGTTCACAGACCACAATATGTACACAGCCATCATGCTTTCTATCACCTTCACGGCCTTATACCTACCATAAGATAGTCCCTATACCTACACGGCCCATACCTACCATAAGAATATCCCTATACCTACACGACTCTATACCTACCATAAGATTATCCCTATACCTACTTCAGGGCCAGCGCGTTGCGGGTAATGACCAGTATCCGAGTGGAAGTGGTGGTGCCGCTGATGGTCTTGGCGGTGAAACAGACGGTGGCGGATATGTCGCCGTATGTGCGTAAGGTGACGGCACACGCACTGCCGAAGATCTACAACATTGATGAGGACCAGAAGGACGAGCTCAGTGACCTGATAGAGAAGCTGCTGGCCGATAGGGCTGTACTGGTGCTGGGCAGTGCGATCTACGCCTTCGAGTCGGTGGTAAGATATCGTAGTCACGTTGAGCCGTGTGTGTACATTAGCACATGTGTAGGCATGTAGGTATATATGTTGTTCCATGGGTGTGTATAGTCATTGTACGTGTATCATGAATTCTTTGACACCATCAGTGCTGCTGTTTAGACATGCGATATTCCCGTTGATCCAATACATTTTATACACTATACATTTATACATATATACATTTTATACATTTTATACATTTTATACATTTTATACATTTTATACATTTTATACATTTTATACATTTTATACATTTTATACATTTTATACATTTATACATATATACATTTTATACATTTTATACATTTTATACATTTATACATATATACATTTTATACATTTTATACATTTTATACATTTTATACATTTTATACATTTTATACATTTTATACATTTTATACATTTTATACATTTTATACATTTTATACATTTTATACGTTTATACTTTTTAAACATAATTGCGCATGTGTGTGTTTGAAAGTATAGATAAACTTGGTGAAATTGTAACCGACTGATTCATTGAAACTGCAAAAGCATTCAATAGGTTGCTTGTCGAGAGGACCATGGTGGTATTGGGCACTGCGATCTGTACTAGTGTAGATGCCATTCCAATCCGATTTTGTGCTATGAACACATTAGCACACGCAATAGTATGAATAGATTTCTATGTTACACAAGTTTGTATACATACATTATATATATATATATATATATATATA